TATCTCTTATCCCTGTCTCACCATCTTATGGATCCACATCTGTCGGTTGTCTTGGTGTCCTGGTGCTTTTCTGTAGTCATTTTGGTTCAATCCGCTTACCTCGTTCTGCTTCAACCCCTTCTCAAGTTATCTGGGAACACACTCTCATGCTTGCCCCTCAGAGGGTAGTCAGGCCATGGAATTCAAAATCCCTCCAGTGTTGTGTCTTCGAGGCATGGGCATCCGCCTGCCCACGTGCACTGGCAATTGAAAGCTCCGAGATCGTTCCTGTAAATTCAGGTTCATACAACCCACGGAAATGCGTCACACTCCACATGTATGAGAAGGGGCGCGAATTCGAGATACCTCTCAGGCAGCTATGGAATCTCTTTGAGGAATTCTTCTCAAGTGAGGCATGCAAGAACCTTATTGGGATCGTGGGAATCGCAGTGCGCTCTATGTCTTTTGTACAGATCAAGACAATGTCATACAAAGGCGCAGTGTTCTACGACAATCGCTGGTCGGACCCTGGGAATTTCATTTACACAGTCTGGTGGAATATTTGGGGTCAAATGGCCAGGTATCTTCAAAGACGACAACCTACCAGGGCCTCGTCCAAATCCATGGAGGAGCTTCGCTCAGTCGCTGGTCGTGTCACCGATGTACAGAGGATGGTCCGCGAGCGGTGGAATAGGGAACCCGACACTTCTCGATGGCTAGAGCTTATTGGAGATTTGATGGAGCTTGGGTTGGGAGCGGGGTATGTTGACCCAGATCGGTTCTGGAACATAATTCAGGGGATATCTCCCATCATCTGCTCCATTCGGTCAATTTTGACGTTTGTCGATCAACATGGGTCTTTTGCTAGGACCGGGAAAGACCGTCGCCTTTTTCGTGGCCCATGTGCACCCCACACTCGGAAGTTTGCCGTGGCAATGTTTCACGGAATGCAAGTGCACAAATTTAATGTTACGGAATCTTCAGAGGTCTGGGTATCCTACCTAATTGCGGCCTCAGAGAACAGGCTCCAATACTAGTGGAGCCGGGGCATTTGACGCCTCACGGAATTTGCATTTGGGTCTGAATCGAGACCCCTTTGGGATCTCCTCTCTCTTCCTTTGCCTACCACCTAGTGGATTGGCTGACACCAGGAGATGTCACTTGTGCGATTCTATCTGGGACCCGCTCGATCCATTCGATCTTAGGGATACCGTGGCTTCGCAACAATCCTTCCTTCCTCAGGATGCCTCTGAGTCTTTGGGCCTCGGCGTCTGTTTTCCTCCCTTGGGTTTGGGGGGATGGGCCCCTTCCCTCCCCATGCCTCCTGTCGGCTCCTGCAGTCTCGGGCTCAAGCTTTCGGTATGCTACATCCCACGGCTTCGGATCCTTACGTTATCTTTCAGGGGAAGCTTTGCAGGTCTAAACGCAAAGTCTGCTTCCTGTCTAAACGAGATCTTGAGGCACTTTCATACTGCTCCCCGCTACTATTCCAAAGGGTGGTCAAGTTGCCGGCTCGGTTTCTTATACCGTCGGGCCTTGGTGGTCCTCATTTCACATATGACTGGTGCAAAATCCCGTTCTTCAAAGCTTGTCGGGACAGCGGCTATCATGGTCTGTATGTCAACGTTCGGGGTCCCGATGAAAGGGTTCGTAGAGTTCCTTGGACAGAATTTGCTGCGGGTCAGTAGCCGTTTCGCCTCAAATCCTTTCTGGAGTCTTGTCTGAGACGGCTGGGAAACCTCCAACTCCAGGGGATGGCTAAACGCAGCCTCCCAGTCAAGCTTGCCGCCAAGAAGCGTCTCAAGTGGACACACGGCTCGGGCGGAATGTGGAACTACTGCGAAGTAGACGAAGTCTACACCAAAGTATGGAATACGGAGTACTTTGACACGTGGATCGATCCCGATTCGGGCTGGCCTCACCCAGTTGTGTGGTACTTGTCCGATTACTGGTGGGATGGAGATTTCTTCGTGGAAAAGTGGCGTTGGAGGTACGGCTGAAGAGCATTCCTGGGACTCCCTCAGACTGGAATCTTCTGTTGTCAGCGGTGCGTGGGCCTGCGGCTTTGGAGGACTCTCAGTCTCTCTCAATCTCTCTTGCATGTATTTCTACGTTGTTGGTTTGCAAATACAAAAGGTTATAAACATTCCCAGCCAACTTGCGTTCTCCATATTCGTTCGAATTCACCCATATTCCATATTCCTCGACATGCATGGTGTGGGTTCTCACGGTTGGGATCTCATTCTGCCTTGACAGTTCATCTTTGTGTGCCTCCGTATCTTCTGGGTTCATTGCGTGCTTGGGACATTCAATTTTATCTTTCAGATTCTCTTTCAGTCATATATATATCAGCCTTGACCACTACTCATGTTCAGTGGGTTTCATGGGATTTAATGGAAGTTTTCTTCACCTCATACTTACTTTAGATCTTGGGACCATGTGTTTCCAAGGTTGGGTCCCAATTGTCACTCAAGATCTTGTTAGTCAAATTTGGGCACCTCTTTCATTATGTTTCTCATCTTCATTCAACACAAGAGGGACCTAGTGGTGGGATTCATTTGGGATATTGGACAGTCTGTCATTCATGATTTATTTCAGTATCATGGGTTTCAATCCTGGGTTGGGCTTTACCTTTTCTCCGCTTCTTTCCTCTCCTGCTTCTCCTCCCTTTTCCCTCTTTCTCTGCCGTACGCACTTGGCGTATTGGTGGCTTCTCAGGTTTGTGTTTTGGGAGGACCGACCTTTCAAGGCGCTTCGTCGTCATCATCATCATCATCATCTTAGAGAACTCGATGCCTGCACACTTCTACAAGAACGTAAGCATTCTTCTGTCAAACAAAGCTGATTGCGTGCGCTGCGGCAAGACAACCATGTGCCAAGCCTTTCGGACCGAAGAAATCGACATGCTGGTGATGGGCTTCCCGTGCACGCCCTTCTCAGCCTTGAACTTTGAGCGCTTCGGAGATGATTACAATCCGTTTATGCACCGTGATGCTGGTCCGTTGTTTGACCTCATCCAGTTCCTGAAGAAGCCGAAGGCTTTCTTGCCGAAGAAGCCAAAATTTGTGATCCTGGAAAACGTGAAGGGCCTGACCCAGCCGCTGAAAGCTGGGCCAGCGGTGGACGCGGGCTTCAATACCCCGCTCGATTACATCTTGAAGGGCACCAGCTGCATCAAGGACGCGAAGACTAGCAAGATGGTCCCATTCAAACACGGCTTGACCTTCCTGAAAGACTACACCTGGATGCTGTTCGACCTTTCCGCCTGCATGGCCGGGCTGCCGCAAGAGAGGAACCGCCTGTTCATCATCCTCATCAGGAAGGACGTGTTCGAGGAAGCAGGCTGGCATCAAGATTCATTGGAAGATGCTCAAGAGTTTGTCAAGTATCTCTCCATGTGCGCGAAGGTCGACAAAATCCCGCGCCCGAAGCTGGCGGCTTTCATGGTCAACGACGGCGGGGTGTTCGAGCCGAACTGTAAGAGGGCGAGAGTGACGCCTACCGTCTCCGACGATGGTGCTGCGGCCATCAAGAAGTTCAGGGAGAAGCACGGCCTGGCCAAGAAATCCAAGGGCCTATTCAGAAAAGAAGTCGGCCCGGAATGTCTGGGGAAGATGTCGGATCGAGAGATAGAAGTCGTGGAATGCTACTTCGAGTTGATGAAGAAAAAATTTGGCGATGTCCCGGAGCATCTCGTAGTCGACGTTACGGAGTCCTTGAGTCGGAATGGGTGCCACATCAATACGTTGAGATCCGTGTCCACCCGGTCGAAGTTCTACTACCACAAAATCACGAACATCATCAACCCGCCCTCTTTGTTCAAGTGCTTCGGCTGGAACATCGAACACCTAAAGGTGCCGCCCCGCACGTCCGAGAGCCAGATGAAGGTTCTCATTGGCAACAGCATCGCGCTGCCGACGATTGGCTACGCCCAACTCTGCGTGCTGCTCGCTTTCCATCCAGGGCTCGCGGAGTGGAGGGCGAACAAGAAGAGCCACATGCAGAAGCCGTGGGAGCCGGGCCGTCTCCTAAATGTCTAGGCGCCAGCGGCCAGCGAGACGCAGGCAGGGAGGCAGGGCAACTGCTCGGCAGAAAACGTCGTCGTCGATCGTCGCGTCGTATCGGCGAAGGGGCATAGGCATAGGATGGCGGGAGGATGGAGGGAAGGGCGAGAGGGATGGGCGGAGGGCAAGGGGGGGCTCGAGGCTGGAGGCTAGACTTGACTTGGCTGGTGGCCCCGACCCTCGTTCTGATCCGACCCCAACGACGGATGGGCCGCGCGACGCTCGCCCCTGGGGCCCTAGTGCGGGGAAGGGGCCAGGGGGTCGATGGAAGCGGCGGGGGAACAATGAGGGGGGGGAAGGGGGCCCACGTCGACCCACCCACCGTTCCAGCTCCTCGGCCGCCGGGGAGGAGGAGGAGGAGGAGGAGGAGGAATGAGGAAGGATGCGGAAGAGGAGCATGATGAGATGATGATGATGATGATGATGATGATGATGAGGAGGAGGAGTAGGAGGAGGAGAAGGAGGAGGAGGAGGAGAAGGAGGAGGAGGAGGGGGGGATTCGGATTCCTCCTCCTCTCGTGCGAGGAGGGAGGGGATGAAGAAAGACGAAGGACGAAGGCAGACGCCAATCGCCGAAGTACATCCCGTAGTCCTTTTGGGCCCTTTGGCCCTGAGCCCTGCGCCCAGGTCCTGCTTGGACTTGACACTTGACGTGACTTGACCCTGAGTCCCTGAGCCCTGAGCTTGCGAAGGCTTAGCAGCTTAGCACGTAGCAGCTAGCACCTAGGGACCTAGCAGAAGGCATAGCGCCCCTGGCCCCTAGGGGGCCTAGGGCCTAAGGCCTGAGGGGCCAGGCCCCAGGTGGCCTTGGCCCTTGGCCTTGAGCTAGCCAGCCAGCCTGATCCTGAACCTGAACCCCCGAAACCGATTTGGCTCTCCAGGGCTTTTCGAATTGCCCATCTCTGGCGGGCACGCACGTTCCCCGATTGCTTACCTGCGACCTTCGGCAGCCTGGCCATGGACAGCGACAGCGAGCCTCAGGATCTCGCTGACCTCGGGAACGGCAGCGACGACGGGGAGGGCAAGGACCAGGAGGGCGGCCTGAAACAGCAGAACGTCTTCGGCAAGGTCGATGACTACGACATCCCGAGCTCACCCGAGCTCACGTGCGTGTCGCGTGAGATCACTTCCAAAAGTGAGTGCCCCGTTGCCGCGATAAAGAAGATTAAGAACAAGAGGGTCGTCTGGGGCAAAACGTCGACAAGGAAACTTATGTGCCGGAAGACCATGAAGAAGATCCGCATCTTGCGCCGGACAGGCGAGTGGTGCCGCAATTGTTACGGGATTTGGAAGTTGCGCTTCAAGCGTAAATACAAGGGCGATATCAAAAAGTTCAAGGAGGAGCTGACCGAGGGCCATCCGAATTTCAAGAAGAAAACAAATGATGCCATGACGAACGCTCACGCGGAGTACCTCCATCAGAAGGCCGGGGGAAGAAGCAGGGTCACGTCTCTCACAGGCAAGGTGATCGCCAAGAAGCGCCGCACCCTCACGATCAAGTATCCGCGTGAGGTCTTCTATGTCCTCAAACAATACAAATCAAAATTTGGTGATCCTAAGACGACCAAGGCGAAGATCACCAAGTTGAGAATCAAGCACAAAGGCTTGGTCCAAGGGGTCGTAGTCCGCGAGGGCGAAGAGGGAGTGTATCCTCTCGAACGGGCCGTCACGATAGACATCCAGAAGGAATACACCCTCGACGACGGCCAGTGCATCCTCGACAGTGAACAGTTGGAGGACATGATGGATATCGGCAGCGACGACGAGACGCAGAAGCAAGCACTGGGAGGAGACGGGTCCTGGCCCTGTGTGAGCCATGCGGGCGTCTTGTCGTTGGAGGAAACGACGAGCCGCCTGGCCGCCGCCCCGCATGGTGAACCAGTCGAGGAAGAGGCGGACGAGGGACTTGCCTCCGACTCCGATAGTCAGGAGGGCGACGATGACGGCGGGGATGAGGCCAGCGTTAGCGCCGAGAGCGATGATGTTCAGATGGGTCCCGCGGCGGCGACCCCCTCCACGGTCACGGCCTGCACCCCGGCCAAGAAGATCAACAAAGAGGCTTGCGCTAGCAGCGCCGCCAGCGTCAGCGGCAGCGGTGCCAAGGCACCCCCGGCTAAGAGAGTCAAGATTGAGAGAGCGGATTCGGATGATGAGAAGCTTGACGACGGGAAGAAGGGCGCGGAGGCCGAGGGCTTGCAGTCCACCCTGTTCCAGGCCATCAAGAACTTCAGCGATGGTAAGTACGTCTCTAAAAGCGGTCGGGACTTGCAGGATTTGATGAGGGATTGGAAGACCGTGATTACTTCGTCAGGCACATGCTGGAGGCGCATCGTGTCAGCAAAGAGTGCCACTCAGCGCGAGCAAGCGCCAATCCTGAAGGAGTTATCGGGGCAACTCGAGGCCGTCTTCAACTTCACGAAGGCTTTCGCGAAGATCCCTAACGTTATATTCTCGGAGGTAGAATCGACATACGCTGCCCTCAAGCAGGTGAACGTGGAGATCCCAGCCCAGGTGTCCGCCAAGATGGTGGTCAAGGCTATCGATTGCCTCCTGCAGGACGGCAAAGTGGAAGAAGCCTGCGCGAAGCTGACCATACGACGCGATGACGCAGCGAGTGGTGAAGTGTTGTGGAGCATGGCCGCCATTGACGACGCGCGCGTCAGGAACGACACCTGCATTGAGACGGCGTGCAAGATATTCCAGACTCCGTTCCCGTATCGGAATCCCAAGGACACGACTGACGCGACAATGATCGAGAGGGCCACTACCTTCTTGGAGATGTTCTCGGAGTTGGACATCGACCTTCTTTCGGAGATCAAAGAAGACCTTCTGGCTACTCAAATCATTGTGGCTTGTTCCACTACTACCGGGACTGCTGGCCGCCAAGCTCCTACCCCGAAGCTGACCTTGCAGGATGCGTTGGACAGGGCGACCGCTGCGCAGAACCCCAAGAGGGCAAAGAACTCTGCCTTGAGTACTTTCGCCATCTCGAAGATTGGTCGCCACCTGGTCAAAGTCGCAGTGACCAAACAGACAGAGCAGGCCAAGAACGCTGTCAATTTCGACGGGGTGAACAGGGTGGCCCTGGCGACAAAAGAGCTCGTGGTCAATCATGGTTCGGGGGAAAGTGGGCTGAAAACCTTGCAATCAACCATGAACCTCTTGATGGAGTCCGTCGAGAACTTCCCGGAGCAGAAGGACGAGAGCTGCGTGGACCTGATAACTGATGCCACGGTGGCTCTCTGCAAGAAGTTCCAGGATCATTTCACGGCGAGCTTCCTCAGGGTGGGCGTCCAAAACGTCGACGGCCCTGCGGCGCAGGCGGCAGAGGCGGAGGACAGCGCCATGGCAGCTCAGGACAGCCGGGGATTGTGGCGGGCCCCGACTCCAGGGATAGATGCCTCCCGCTCCTCACACATGCCCACTTCCCTCCGACTCAACTTCGGCCCTTCATCCTCGCAAGTAATCCCAATCCCCTGATTATTGTCTCTTGCCGCCTCTCGCAACCTCCGACTGTCCTGAGGCCATCGAGCAGATGTTCGAGACCAAGACCTTGGCGGGGGAGAGCGCGACCTTGGTGTCCCTGAGCAGCATGGTCCACAAGTTCGTCCCTAAGATGAAACCATTGGAGCGAAAAACGACATGGCCTGGGACGAAGAGTGGTGGTCAAATTCTAAGTGCTTAGCCGAGACTTGTGCCCTGGAGAACCGGAGGAGGCAACAATTTTCAACCGGCTATAGCCATGCGCCTGTCATGCTCATGATATCATTCGCTGGGGAGTTGCACGATGCTTTTGAAAATTCAACCATTCCGAAAGGTGTCCTTCACGCCAACAGCTTGGCCCCAGCGTCGACAGCCGCGAAGTGCGCGGAAGACCAACTCTGGGTGGCCAAGAACCAGATGACAGAGCTGTTGAACGCAACCGTCTCCAAAGACGCCTTGGGGAAGCTCGCTCTCAACCCGCAGACCTACATCAACGATTGCATTGACCAATCGTGCATGATGCCAGTCCAGATGGTTTCCCACCTTGCAGGTTTGAACATCGCCGAGTCTACACAGCGCATCGATGCCATGAAGGGCGTCCTTCGCTTCCAGAAGAAGATGCGCGGCGAGACTGGCGACGACGAGCAGCCCCCGGCCGACAACAACGTTTCTTCCAGGGACTTGGACGACCTCTCCAGCGCGCTGCCTGCCCTTGTCGCCGTGGCAAAGTGCCGGCGTTCTGAACCAATCGTGCCGCAGATGGACGTTGCCGACGCCTCGGCCGACGAGCTCGCAGCGGTGCAGATCCCCAGAGGGAACGTTTCCGATGCGTACTTGGCTCATTTCGGCGAGGCGACCCGCGAGTGCTCAGCTTTCGACAAAGTTGCCAAGACAGACAACAGGAAGCAGGTCAAGAAGCAGCTGCAGAAATTCATTGAGCGGGTCTCTAAGGACGGCTGTCTTTGAAAAGCGGGGTCCTCCTCTCGAGCCCGGGCCAGGATGAGGAAGGAGGAGAAGGAGGGAGAGCAGGAGGAGCAGGAGGAGCAGAATGAGGAGGAATGGGGAGAAGGAGTAGGAGGAGGAGGAGCAGGAGGAGGGATCAGAGGAGGATATAATGAGGAGGTCGGAGGGAGGAGGGAGGGAGGGGAAGGAGGAGGAGGAGGAGGAGGAAGGACAAGGAATATGTTTTTGGTGGGACGAACTCAGAAACAGGGCTTGAGTGAAGGATCCATCGCTCTCGGAGCTTCCCACCTGGAGCCATCCATTGCAATTTCGGAGGGGGTCGTTGAAGCCCTGGGGCCATCAATCATCAATCTCGGGATCTTGGGTCTGAGTCTTACGTCTTAGTATTAGGTGTCATCGATCCCAGAAGCGAGGGTGCTCTACCAAAGGACTATAACAGCCTTGCGTATATCAGGCCCATTGCCTCGGGCTCGGGGCCCTCGTGGGGCGCTGTTGGCCACCGTGGCTCCGGGGCCTTAGACCCAGAAAGCTCGTCTGGAGCGAAATGCGAGAATGCGAGAACGCACATTCCTTGGTCCCCACAAGTGTTGTAAGGAGGCGGGGCCTTTCGGGGGCGTCCTGATAGGCCCGCCCCGTGGCCAGTGCGTCTTGGGCTTTAGGGTCTCTGGACTCTGGGGTGTTGGAAGCCATCCTGGAAGCCGTTCATCTTGAAGGCATTTCGGGCAAATCTGGAGCCTCGTTGGTCCTGGGGCGCTCTACCAATCGCGCCCCCCACCCACCCCCCGTCTAGATGCAGGGGAAGGGGTGGATGAGAAACGCAAACCACCTCCGCCCAGAGAGCTGGCGGTAGTCAGGACGTGAACACCCTGGGCCTGATCGCCGCTTCAAAGATGACCCTGGCAAGCAAGGAGCTCGAGCCACTGCTCTTTGATGAGAAACCAATCTTGAAAAAACTCGACACCAGAATCGACGAGCTCATCGATTTTCCAGAGAGGTCGCGCATCGTGACGCTCATCAAGGATCTGAACGGTATCAACGGTGTTGGGGTCAAGCAGGTCCAGAAGTACGTGGATGCGCTCAAAGGCACGGACTTGGGCTCGAAGGCCCTCGAGGAGCCTCTCGAGATGGCCAAGAAGGTTCGCAAGAAGGCCCGATCGCTCGTGACGTACCGGACGGGGGCGATCATGATCAAGAAGAACAGGGCGGCGGACCTCAAAAAGTACTACGCGGAGGCCGCGTCGCTGGGCGTCGCGACCCCCAAGGAGCTCAAGGACAAGTTGGACGCGCTCCCCGGGGCGTCCTAGGTGCAGCAGGGGAAGTAGTTCGGGGACGCCCTCAGAGAGGGGTGCCCAGCCAGTGGCCTTTTGAAAGGCCCCGTGGCCTGCTGAGCAGGGCCTGCTGGCCTGCTGGATGACATGAGGAGGAGAGAGGGAAGGGGGGATGGGGAGGAGGCGGAGGAGGAGGAGGATAGGGGGAGGATGAGGGATGATGAGGAGGAAAGGGGAGGAGGA